TCCTTAGAATAAATCTAAAACAAAAATTGAGAAAATTACCCCAAATTCCATCCCAAATTCTATTATATATATATATATATATATATATATATTTGCGATAAAAATTTAAAAAGTCTATTTGAGAAAATTACCCCAAATTCTATTATATATATTTTTTTTAAAAAACTATAATGAAATTGGTAATTTTGGTAGCGATAAAAATACAAAAAAAAAAGATTGCTGACAAATCACAAAATAGCATTAGTAGTTGGAAAGCTTAGGACCATGGTGTTCAAAAATACCACGTGGCATAATGGCACTGCATGACCGGCGGATATCCAGGCTTTTGAAACCTTTTTCATTTGGTGTCTAGAATTGGTTTCAGAGTGTACTACTTGCTCAACTTTTGTTAATGAACGTTCTGCTAATAACAAAGAAAAAAATCACAGTAAACTTTTATAATTAGTATTAAAATTAAAAATTGCTGCATCATGAAGTGGATAATCATTCATTCTTTCGCTTTTTAATCACTTGAAATATTGTAATTTTTTTAATTAAATTTGTTTCAGAATTTAATGTAATTTTATTAGTTTAAATCTTTTATAATCATTTTTATTATTTTTTATATAGTAGATGGATATAGATATTATGGGTTTTTTAGTTAAAAAAAAAGAATATTTTCATACTTTGTTTTGTTTAATATAAAACGTTAAATTAGAAAAACGGAGGGAATATTCATTTCTCATTTAGGATCTATGATTCTATATACGTCTACGTATAGATAAGGTAACAAATACCTTATTACTAAGTGAGAGATGTGTATGCAATAAAAGACACTTCCTAATCCATTGTTTAAATGATATTGACACTAAACCAAATCCCCCAAAATATTTTGCCTAAAGAGAGAAGAAGGCAGAGAAGAGAGCAGTTTGTGCACAATAATTTTGTTACACACATCAAAAGCTTAAAACTTTCCTTTCTCCCTTTCTCTTTCACGACTGCAAATTGAGGAGGAATCAGTTCCCTGGAATCGAGGTTTCCCTCTCTTCTCCACTTAAACCCTCACCACAAAATCAACCCTTTCTCTCTATCTCTCCTTCTTCTTCTTCTGTCTGTGTTCCAAAGTCTCAATCTTTGTTCTTCTGGGTACATTGGGTCTATCTTCTCTTGTTTGCAAAAATCGATTTTGGTATGGCTTTACCTTTGACTGATTTTTTTTTGTGGGAATAATACTGTTAGAGTTGGGTAGTGATAGAGTAAAGGTGTAAATTTTTTGTTATGGGGTTACTAGGCCCTTTGATTAGCAAATTCAATGCTCAGACTTGATTGGGTTTTTATTGTTACTGTCCAAGCTTCTGTTTTTTTTTTTTTGTCTTCCTCTAAGATAGTAGCAGCAGCAGCTATTAATGCCTTCTTATTGAATCATTTTGTGTGTTTCTTTGTTATTCTCCAGTAAAATTTGTTTTGGATACTGTAAGGGTAATACATGTTTACCTAAGCACATTTTGGTCAAACATTGTCTTGCTATGCTACTTGGAATATTTTCTTTTAGATATGTCATTGTTGGAGTTGCTGTTAACTAATTTGCGTTATCTTGGTGTAGGTGTGCAAGGCGCTAGAGAATATCAAAGTCTCTGCTTACTATTGCGTAAGGAGGATAGCTAAGATTTTTGGTTTGGGATCGACTTAAGGGAAGAGATGGATATCGTCAGAGCTTGGCTCAGTAAGTTGAAGTCTAAAGGGAAAGAGAAATCCTCTAGAAAGATGGAAGCTACCAGAAGTAATGTTAAGGACGAATCCAAAACAGCTGGAGGTGAAGAAGCTGTGTCAAATGTGACAAAGCAGAAGGCTGCAGCTGCGAAACAGTATATTGAAAATCATTACAAAAAACAAGTGCAAAGTCAGCAGCAAAGACAGGAGAGGTATGGGTTCTCATTACATTTCCTCAAAAGATACATAATAAAGTTTATATTCATTTGCTTCCAATTTCGAGACACAAGTTTAAGGCCTACATATTGTGTTGTTGACATAATGGTTTCTGCTCTCTTTTTTTTAATATCTTTTCCGCTTTTTGTGGTAATTGGATTTGGTGCAGACGTAATATTCTGGAGAATAAGTTAGCTGCTGCAGAAGTATCTGAGGAAGAGCAAAAGAATTTGATTAAGGATTTAGAGAAGAAAGAAACTGAATACATGCGACGTCAAAGACATAAAATGGGAACTGATGACTTCGAGCCACTGACAATGATAGGAAAGGGCGCTTTTGGAGAGGTAGCATTGGTCTTACTGTAAACGTTAGGTGTTGGGGATAGTGCCTGTATCTAACTTTTTATGTTTCTCTCTTGCAGGTAAGGATATGCAGGGAGAAGGGAACTGGTCATGTCTACGCAATGAAAAAGCTCAAGAAATCTGAGATGCTTCGTAGAGGCCAGGTATCTCCTCCAAACATTCTTTGTTTTGATACAACTTCGTTTTTTCCTGTCAATGAAAAGCTCAAGAAATCTGATCTTTGCTTTGTTTCAGGTTGAACATGTGAAAGCAGAGAGAAATTTACTTGCAGAGGTTGACAGCAACTGCATTGTGAAGCTGTATTGTTCGTTCCAGGACGAAGAGTATTTGTATCTTATCATGGAGTATCTACCTGGTGGAGATATGATGACGTTACTTATGAGGAAAGACACACTTACTGAAGATGAGGCTAGGTTTTATGTTGGGGAGACTGTCTTAGCTATCGAGTCCATTCATAAGCACAACTATATCCACAGGTTTAGTGAAGTTAACAAACTTGTAGCTTGCGTGTCCTTTTCAGTGTTCTAAGTATTTATTTACTATGTCTTACAGGGATATCAAGCCTGATAATCTGCTACTGGACAGAAGCGGGCACATGAAACTATCAGATTTTGGATTATGTAAGCCATTGGACTGTAGTATACTCGAGGAAAAGGATTTTACATTTGCGCAGAACGTAAGTGGGGCTTTACAAAGCGATGGTCGCCCTGTGGCACCTAGACGCACCCGCTCCCAAATGGAACAGCTTCAAAATTGGCAGAGAAATAGAAGGATGCTTGTGAGTTTTATGTTTACGCAAATCCGTTATTAGTTTGTTTAATCATTTCCTTGCTATGAGATGTCCACTTTTGCAGAACTGAACAAACAGTCATTAGTCTGTTCATATAGAAGTTTTTCTTTGTGTTATCAAATATGGGTTACTAAGTATATCGATTGCAGGCTTACTCAACAGTTGGAACTCCTGATTATATTGCACCAGAAGTTTTGCTGAAGAAAGGATACGGAATGGAGTGTGATTGGTAAGTGAAACCAAATGTTCTGTTTTTCGGTTTGGTTTCTTTAACTTAAAAACAAATTATATATGATGAATTGATTCGTTTAGGTGGTCTCTTGGTGCCATAATGTATGAAATGCTTGTGGGGTTTCCACCATTTTATTCAGATGATCCAATGGCAACTTGTAGGAAGGTAACACATTCCTCCCTCCTTAGGTGATACTACAGAATGCGGTAACCTTGACACCTTTACATATCTGATTGTCTTCTCTTTCTATTGTAAATGCAGATAGTAAACTGGAGAAATTATTTGAAATTCCCGGAAGAGGTTAGATTGTCACCAGAAGCCAAGGATCTCATTTGTAGACTTTTATGTAACGTAGAACAAAGGCTTGGAACAAAAGGAGCAGATGAAATTAAGGTGCTGTGTGCTCTAAAAGATTTGAAACTCTCTTGTCTAAAGTCTATTTGTAGATGCTTACTTAATAAACTCTTTTTCTTGTTGCTGGCTTATTCTTGTAGGATCATCCTTGGTTCGTAGGTGTGGAATGGGGAAAGTTATATCAAATGAAGGCTGCTTTTATTCCACAAGTCAATGACGAGTTGGACACTCAAAACTTCGAAAAGTTTGATGAGGTAAAACTATTAGTGAACCCTATCAGAAAAGATGGCTTAAATATGTAAATGGATGGCGTATAAGGGGTTGTTGATATTCATCTTTAACTCTCCTTGTGTAACAGACTGACAAGCAAGTTCCAAAGGTTACAAAATCAGGTCCATGGAGAAAGGTTCGTAAATTTCTTGCGTCATGTCTCACTTTTGTATATGCATTAAAGAAGCTCATGCATTGATTAACATGAGAGACTGTCCTTGTTTTCTTTTTTTGTTTGATTCTCTCCAGATGCTCTCATCTAAAGACATAAACTTTGTGGGTTATACTTACAAGAACGTTGAAATCGTAGATGATGATCAATTATCAGGGATAGGTAAATCTCACTTACATAACGAATCCGACTTGTAATTCGAGACGTTGCATTTTACTTTGTTGTAACTTGGTACTGTTGTTGCAGCTGAGCTGAAGAAGAAGAGCACAAAGCCAAAGCGGCCATCAATTAAATCCCTCTTTGGTAAACTCATTTCCCATCGACAAGACATCTATTTGGAATGATATAAACATACAACTAAGATAGGTTTATATATCACAATGAAATCAATTTTATCATCTAACTAGACTGTTAAAACCAAAATATTGAACAGAGGATGAATCAGCGAGTAGCAACACAAGTCAGCAAGGAAGCTTCTTGAAGCTGTTGCCAACGCAGATAGAAGAAGTTCCAGAGAAAGAAGGCAAATCCAGCTCATCATCCGGGTGACAGACAATATGGCACAAAGCCTAAACCAAAACTTGTAGAGATACAACAATTCATTTTATTTTAATTAACAGGTTTGAGTGGGTGAATTCAGGGTTCGAGAAAGTACAGTTTCCCCTCGTGCCCTTTGATATTTGTGTGGGTAGAGAAGGATTATTCAAACAGTTTCAACAGAGAATGATATGGTTTGGTTGATTGATACCTTCTTGTTTCGGGTTTTATTTGAAGCAAAAACCCAAGTAAATTTTATCATTATGTTTTTATGTGTAAATTATCAAAAGATCACTAGCCATTCATCAAACATTAAAATAGCAAGAGCCTTGACGATAAGATATTCTATAGGGACTGCAATTACATGGTCACAACACTCTACTCCCCAACTTGACCACTCTTCGGCCTTTTAAGCACAAACACAGCACACCAAATCATCATCTTCTCGACATGATAGAACTTATTCTGGTCCCACGGGACAACCATCTTACCACCATAATCAGCAAATCTAACAGAGACGAACAAATTAGGTAGCCCTCCTTCCAAAACTTTCCACATGTTTACCTCAGTGTCGTGCCATCCTGAGGTACCGTCCTCGAAAGAATACAACACATTCTCTATCACGCAATAAGAATCTTCAAACCAAAAACAACTCATCTCTGTGTTTGCCATATCCCACTTACGTTTGTAACAAACCACCTTGTTGTTGTTAGTCGCCACGTGGAACTTTCCTTCGAGACATGCGCTTCTCATGTTCAATGTTGTCTCGCTGATGGAACTGGAACTGGATGTTGGGAATATCCTAAAATCATAGAACTGGAATCGGATGAGTTCTTCTTAAAGTCATAGAACTGGAACTGGATGTTGGGAATGTCATAAAATCATTTGTACTTATCTACTCTATTAAAATAGAGTCACTGTTTTTATCTACTGCACAAGAGTCATAGTAGGTATATATCATTAGTTACATAATATAACATAATATTCAATAATAATATTAATAATTAATCAGTTGTAACCATAAATATGAATTTTATTTTTAATTATAACAAAATCTGTTAAGAAAGAATCTAACAGAATCCTACTAAAATTTTAAAATATGTTTGTTAAATAAAGCATTAATTAATTTTGTAATTAATAATATAATATTATTTTAAATTAATATTAATTAAGTATTATATAAAATAAAAATAAAAAACGTATTATATTTTTATAAATTTTCTTATAGTCTATATTATTTTAAACAGAAGTATTATATAAATTAAATATGACAAATAATATTAAATTAGTAAATTAGCCAATTTATTGTAAAAATAATTTCATTTAAATAAATTATTATCTTCAGTTAAAACTGATTAAATCTTTTAACTATGTAAATATTCTTAGAAAAATAAAGTCATTAACATATGTTAAACTTTTGACTCTACAACTATATATTTTCAAAAAAAAAACTATTTTAAAGAAAGAGTGTTATTTGATTATTTCTGATTATAAAAAAAACAATTATATATATTCTACTTTTATAAGTTTTGTTATAGTCTATATTATATTAAAATAGAATTATTATATAAATTAAATATGACAAATTATACTAAACTGATAAAGTAACCTATTTATTTTTAAAAATAATTTAATTTAGATAAATTATTATCTACATTAAAACGGGTTAAAATTTGTTAACTATATATTCTCAAAAAGGATATTTTAAAGGAGATTAATTATTTAATTATTTTAGATTATAGATTTACTGTACCAAACTCAAAAATGTAAAAACAATTAATAAAAAAGTAAAATATATAAGAAAATCACAATATATTAATAATGTAATAAGAAAACTAAACAATATAATTAAAAAGTTACATAATATATATAACACTAAATATAAAATATATATCTAAAATATTTATGTTAATATCAAAGTTAAATATTTATAAAATAAAATATATATCCACACGGATGTGCGGATCAATTTCTAGTTCTTGTTAAAGTATAACACTAGGTGGTTATAATGTTTTACTAGAAACCGCTTATAATCTACGAATTAAGAATTCACTAGATTTTGACCCGCGCTTGAAAGCGCGGAAATTTTTTATAACTAAAATTTATATGATTGGTTTATGTCTTAATTTAAAAAATGTTTTGGTATAAAATCAGTTTACCAAAATTTGTGGTGACGATTTTTTTATTAGTTTTTAATTTCAGTTTTTATTTTTATATTTTGGTTTTTAGTTTTTAAGTTTTTTTTTTTTTTTTAGCTTTTCTTTGGGGTTTTACTTTTTAGATCCGCTAAGTTAGTTTGAACTGATATTACCAACAAACAAATTTCAAATAATCGAACATCTAATTTAAAACTGAAAAGATGACAAATTTTTTTTAAAAAAAATTAAATATTATTTTGTAAATAAACAAAACCAAAAACTATAACAATATGTTATCTAGAACAATTTGTTTTTACCTTTTGGTTTTGGATTTTAGTTTTTCGAATTGGTTTTTGGTTTTGCTTTATATTTATTTTTTTAAACCAGTAAATTATTTAAGAAAAACAAAACAATAAATTATTTAAAGTTACCATTGAAATTTATCAAAAAAAAGTGATTGTTATTTTAAATAAAAAATACAATAACATGTTTTAAAGTACATGCTTTAAATAAATGATTAATAATAGACAATTTTATTTGTTAAAAATATTAAATACATTTGGGCCTGAAAATAATAATTGATTTTTTGATCTATTAAGATAGAAAATGATTAATAATAGACAATTTTGTTTTGTTAAAATATTAAATACATTTGGGCATGAAAATAATAATTGATTTTTTGATCTATTAATATAGAAATTTTATTTAATGTTTTTTTGGAGTTTTTCCTTATTAGTAAGCCTAAAAATCAAACCATATAATTTGTCCTAAAAACAAAAGTAAGCGAAGACTATATCCCATAAATAACTATCGGTTTAGTTTAAGTAATGCGGTTCAATTAACTATATGGCTTGTTGTAACACTCTAGAAAGAGTCCAAATTTAAATGACAATTTGTATTAGTAGATAAAAAGAAAGACTCTATATTAATAGAGTTGATTTATATCCTCCTATACATTAAAAGAGAAGTCACTTGGACACGTGTCGCTCACACAGGCCTTCTCAGAGAAATTCTGACAATCTGATTGGTTGATTTTTTTCTATTTTCTTTGGTATTTTTTTAATTTTCGACGTGCAAATGGTTTGACAATCGTATCTCATATATTCGTTTACCTTAATTACTTGCCTTATATAATATTCGGGAACATTAATTAGAGAACTAACATTAATTTTGGGAATCTTATATAATATTTGTTAAATCGTATCTCAAATATTTGGTTACGTTATTTAGAGAGCTAACTTTATATTCGATAACTTGTGAAACAAGCTGGAAATTAAATGCCAAAGATGTCAATCTCATACCATTAGGAAAGTAATTCAGTATATATTAACGATGTCATAATGTCTGTAAACCTAACGCAAGTCTCAAACACATCTATTCAATGGTTAAAGCTACGAAAAATCGAATGTCATCTATCAAGGATTTGAGACCGTGTAAAGATACATGGCGTATTGAGGTTAGGATTCTGCGTTTATGGAGAAACTACAACAGAGATTCCGGAAACACCATCGAAATGGTGTTTGTCGATAAAGAAGTAAGTTCATTACTTCATTTCCTATGTTAGTTCCATTTTTGTAGAATGTATTACAGCTACATCTTTAACTCTCTTCTCATCACCGTGTAGGGGACAAGAATCCATGCTCAAGTCGGTGAAGTGCTCATAAAACATTTTGAAGGGAAACTAACCGAAGGCGATGCAAAGGTCATCCACTTATTTAAAGTCTACGACGCTACTGGTGATTATCGAACCACCGCGCATCCCTACAAAATTGGATTCTTTCAGACAACTTTTGTTGGACCAGCCGATGACTTCCCAAGTGAAGTTCCGGAGAAGTATCTTGTCAATTACAGTGATATTATTGATGGGAAGCTTGATAGCAGTTGTTTGGTTGGTGAGTCAAATTCGTACTATTGCTTTCTCTTACAATATTTTTAAATGACACAATATTTACTTCTTAACTTGATATGTAGATGTTATTGGCCAAGTAATTAACTTCGGATCTCTGGAAAACAAAGTCATAAAAGGAAAGGATAATTTCAGACTATTGATTGAGTTAAGGGACCAAAAGTAAGTTTTCATTTTATGCCTTTTCCTTTAAATTATTGGATCAGCTTTTCTTGTGTTATCCATTAATAATAGTGGTGTTATATGCAGTGATGTGAAGTTGATGTGTACTCTTTGGGGCAGTTATGCTAAACAAGTATATGATTACAGTATGTTAAACATTTCCACAATGATCATTGCTCTAATCCGGTTTTGTTCCATTAAAGAGTGGAAAGGTATAGTTCCTACACTTACTTTCTTAAATGACTTATCTCATAACATTTTATTAATAAGCTTATGATACCGCAGGTGCTTACTCCATATCTAGCGGGTACAATTCAACCCATATATTGCTGAATCCAACATTGGATTTAATTGCAAATTTTAAAGCTAGGTATGTCTCATCGTAATTTCATCTTACCTTTATACGAGAAACTAGAGGTCTTAGCACTTTGTTTTACTGTGCAGTCTCCCCAATGATTCACTTGCTCTTACAAACAATGATAGTAGCCAATGGTCTGTTGGTAGTGCTACATCTGTTCGTGCTAGGTTTTTTGTGACTAATGAGAGGCTAACCATAAGGGAGATCATCGATACTGATCTGGTATATTTATTAAACAAGGTTTCGAATCATTATTTGTGCATCTAATAGTTACAAAAATATTAATTTGCACGCATATTTGTAGGTTGGTACTTTTGTCACTCTTGGCACAATTGAAAGCATCGATGCTGATCGTGGGTGGCAATATCTAAGCTGCAAATACCATAACAAAAAAGTCATGCAGATGTTTATGGCGCTATAGTAGGAGTAGGATTTCTTGAAGAATTCGTGACAGAACCTACTCACGGAAACTCTGGATTCATCGACCATAAAATACGTTTCTTCGTAAAAAATATGGAGTAAGTTTTCGACTTTTCCAAGCAAAAAGTCTTCCTACATTCTTAGTAACAACATTTGCTGAAATATTTTGATGCTTGTTGCTTACAGTAACGTTGTCGTTAAGTGTGTTGCATTTGGAGCACTTGCTCATGTTTTCCAAACCATATGGAATTCAATTGACGAGAATGTTGTACTTTGTGTTTTACAATTCTGGCAAATTAATTGGGGAGTAGGTAA